AGAGAGAGAGAGAGAGAGAGAGAGAGAGAGAGAGAGAGAGAGAGAGAGAGAGATTGTTTCAGCTTACCCTCTGTGGCCGTACATGGCTGCAGCACAAATCACAGTCTTCGATAGGATTCTTTAATATACGAGGACGAAGATCCCACTAGATGGAAAGGCTCTTTGTAGGGGAGGAAAAAACGAAGATGTGAACCCTAGTTATTAGATATAAAGGGGGCAAATTTTCACCCAAAAAAAATGTGAAGATTGGAAGGCAGTATTTTGGGAGAAAAAACAAACCCGTATATTTTTGGAAGTCGAAAAAAATAAAGAAAAAACAAAGCGTACTTTATTTGTTTCATTAAACTAGGGAAGAACACTCTTAAAAATCGGCTTTCAATAAATCGACTAAAAATATCGGTCAGACGGCACCTACTCGGGCCTAAGCGAGCTTGGCGTCCTGTTGGTTGGGCGGCATGATGAATATCGTATATCTCCCTAACTTGGTTTGCTCCGAACCCGCACCGAACGTCGTTGATTCTTTGCGATAGGTTGTGGAAAGCTCGAATTCTGCTTAACACGAATTTTGTGTGTAAAACTCTTACGAATTCATACACGAGATAGGTTAACAAATATTTAATTTTATATTAACTTCAAGACATATTAACATTGAACAGTATGTAACCTGCGCCAGTGGCGAAACCAGGATCCCGTTTCGGGGGGACCCAATTTGCCTTTAAAAAAAATCACGACAAAACCAAACACAAACACAAATTTTCTCCGATCCAGCTTCCCCTCCATGGCTTCATGCCTCCCTGCTCAGCTGCTCTGTATTTTATAGTGATTTATGTGTCCGTTTCGTCGTAGTTTAATATATAATTAGTTGTTATTTAATTAATTATTATATAATTATTATATATTTAATTAATTTTATTCGAATTTTGACATGAAATAGGTTCGAAATAATTATTGGAGTTGAAAACGGCTAGGGCCCGAATGAATTTAGAATTAATGGCACGAATTTGATATAAATTGTCTTGCATTTACAGCCCAATTACAAAGCCCAAAAGAAATAATTGGCAGCAGCCTATTACACACATTCAGCCCAAGTGTTACTTAAGTAAGTGTACATATGTAATTTGAATGGGAGAATATGGGATCACCTTCTTCTTCACGAGAGAGCGCACGTTCGCCATGAAAGTGGAGCTTCGTTGCGCGTCCACCACCTCGCCGTTGCACCACCTCGACGTCGACGGTTCTTTTAGCGAAGGGTCAGGCCTATGATGACCTCTATCAGCGCCTAGGCACGAAAGAGGGGGAGAAGGACATTTATAGGATAGCTAGGATTCGGGAGAGGAAGACAAGGGACATCAACCAAATCAAATGCATCAAGGATGGGTCGGATCGGCCACTAGTGAAGGATGGGGAGATCAAGGACAGATGGCGAGAGTACTTCGACAAATTGTTTAATGGGGAGAGTGAGGGTCCTACCCTGGAGTTAGTTGACTCATTTGAGGATACCAATAGATGCTTGGTGAGAAGAATCCAAGAGGCAGAGATCGGAGAGGCTATGAAGAGGATGAAGGGAGGTAAAGCAATGGGCCCTGATGGTATCCCTATTGAGGTGGCGATGTTTGGGCGCCAGAGCGTTAGTATGGTTAACTAAGATTTTTAACCTCATCTTTCGGTCAAACAAGATGCCTGATGAATGGAGGAGAAGTACTTTAGTACCGATCTTCAAGAACAATGGTGATGTTCAAAGTTGTGGTAACTACCGTGGGATTAAGTTGATGAGCTATACGATGAAGCTGTGGGAGAGGGTTATCGAGCATCGCCTACGACGAGTGACGAGTGTGACCCAAAACCAATTTGGGTGTATGCCTGGAAGGTCGACCATGGAGGCGATTTTCCTAATACGACAGTTGATGGAGAGATATAGGGACCAAAAGAAGGACTTGCACATGGTCTTTATCGACCTTGAGAAGGCTTATGATAGAGTACCGAGGAATGTCATGTGGTGGGCCTTAGAAAAGCACAAAGTCCCATCTAAGTACATTACCCTCATCGATATGTACAAGGATGCGATGACGTGTGCTCGAACATGTGGGGGCGATACCTGCGACTTCCCAATTAAAATAGGACTACACCAGGGGTCAGCATTGAGCCCTTATTTATTTGCCTTGGTGATGGATGAGGCCACAAGGGACATACAAGGTGATATCCCTTGGTGTATGCTCTTTGCTGATGATGTGGTGCTAGTTGACGAGAGTAGTGCAGGATAAATAGGAAGTTAGAGCTGTGGAAGGACACGTTAGAGTCGAAAGGCTTCACACTTAGTAGGACGAAGACCGAGTACATGACGTGCGCTTTCAGCATGGCTACTCATGATGATGGTGACGTTAGCCTTGACGGGCAAGTGGTGGCCAAGAAGGAGACTTTCCGGTATTTAGGATCGATGCTACAAAAGGATGGCGCCATTGATGAAGATGTTAGGCATAGAATTGCAGCCGGTTGGTTGAAATGACGTCAAGCTTCGGGTATTCTCTATGATAAGAGGGTGCCACAAAGGCTAAAAGGTAAGTTCTATAGGACGGCGATTCGCCCGGCGATGCTATACGGTGCTGAATGTTGGCCTACAAAAAG